CAGGCCGCCGAGAACAGGAAATGACGTCGTCGTCGTCGGCGGCGCGGAGATGATAGCGCGAAGCACATCGATCGCAGCATCGTACGTCTTCGAGCTTTGTTTGAAACAATTTTCCGATGCAATCGCAACATCGTCTTATCGTCGAATGTGCAGTGTTCCTTCAGTTCTAAAATATAGAAATATAGAAATTATTTTGAAAAAAGGATTTTAATTCCGCGGTGACGAAAGTTGATTCTTCAAGACAGTGCGTGTTTCGACTATCACTTTGAAAAGTTTTTTTTTTAATTACGGTGTAAATTATTCTTGAGTTTTTTTAACGTGTTTATATAATTGCTTGTGATATAACACCGCTAAAATAATAAAAAAATATATGAGATTTGTAGAGCATGGTATAGTAATATTGGAGCACTGGTAAACAAGTTTTGAAGTTATAAGTGAATTAAAAATTTTCTAAAATTTTTTAAAGAGCTAAACGAGGATAATTTTTCATAAAGAGAACGATGTTGCCTTTGCATTGGGATTACGGATCAAGATTATGAGAAATGGTATGAAAAAATCGCATGCATGTGCGTGTATGTATGTGCGTGTGTCTATGCAATGCGTGGGTCAGGAAGAAGGAACGGAAACGAGAGAGAGAAAACGGATTTTTGGCTCGCGACGACATATTCAAATGGAAGCGCAGCACATTTGAATTTGGGATCGAGCTTTTTTTCGCAATGCAGGGTGTGCCAATTGCGCTATGTCACATTTTAAAGTCGCTAGCCAAAAAACAGAGTTTAACTTCCTCCAAATAAAAACAGTTTGTTAACGAAAAGAGTTTAGTTTTCATTGGTTTTCACAAAAAACTAGATAACGCAATTTTTCAGCTCCGAATAAAACTTTTTTTTACGTGGAAAAATTATTTTATGAGAAAAAAGTAATTGAATTACTTTTTAATTAATTTGAAATCTGTATAATTAGTCTGCTTTAATAGAATTTTCTGATTTCAAAAGTGATTAACGTGATTAATTAAAAACTTGCAAGAAATGCAAAGCTCGATTGTCGATGACTTTTCAGCAAAGTTAATTTTATCAAATATAATTATAAATTATTTCTAATCACTCAAATAATTCCAAGTTTTAAATAATCGAATAATTAACTAGTGAGAAATATCGAGGAGTATTCATCACAGAAAGTAAAGTTGAATGGAGTAGTTTTTTCCTCAATGAAATTACGTTAACTTGTAGCGATATCGTTGTAGCTTAGATGTAGCGTCTGAGAGCGAGTCATTGGTACCGATTTAGATACGATTAACATGTCGAGGGAATCATTTGCATTTGTGCACGTTCCGGAAAATCCTCTGAGTACCGGCCAGGTTGATTCATGTCGCAAGAGATGTGGGCGATATATTTCACAGTCTAAGTTCAAGAAGCGAATACAATTTTAATGTGAACAAATAGATAGTCCTGTTAAGACAGCCTGCGATCTCTAGTAAGATACTACTGTACAGTACTTCTTAAGCTTTTCTTCTCGGAGCTGTATCTCCTTTCTTTTTTTATTATAAAGAGTTCTTGAAATATGCTTGATTTGGAATATCTTTTTTGGATCTAGACATGTAGTTTATTTAGAATAATGAGTAATAGTGTGAGAAAATAAACTTTAGTAGTGATTAATTAAATCATATAAAAATTATTTAAAGATAAAATAAATTTTTGAATCGAAACGTGAAAGAAAAGTCACATTGTGGAATTGGATGAAATAAATCTATTTTTTTCATCTACTGTAGCTAAAAAAAGAAAAAAAAAATTGGAAAAATGCACATAGCGTATAAGAGAAGGTTTCTAAAATTCACAATTTTTTGAGAGTAAAACGAAAATGATACGCATCGCTGAGAAGTCGTCTTTACATTTGCCGGATCCTTCGGATCGCTCCGAAATATGTTTATAAACAGCATCGTAAGCCATTGCATGCGAGGATAAGAAAGAGGGGAGAAGAGACCTTCGCGATTCAGAAAATATCCGCGCGAGTGGGCAGCTTCATGGGCGTCTCTTTCCCTCTCTTCCACATCCTCTCTTCATCCTTTTTTTTATTTCTCCTCGAAGAGTGAAAGATTCTGGATTGCGCGCTCCTAAGAATACGCAGATTTTTATCTGGATGCATAAGCGAAATACGAGAACAAATCAAAAGAAGCACACTGATTGAATTATTCAATAATGAAGCTCATTCGGCTATATGAAATCATATAAATGATTCATTCTGTAGCTTTTTATAACTGTCTCGCTTATTGACATTTATGTGCATGCTGTAAGAAACTCGATACAATAAATTCCAATAAATAAAAGCAATTCAGTGTCAAAATTTTTCAATTTTTATTTTCCAATTTTATTTTTTTTATTTTCCAATTTTAGTTCCATAAACTTGAACTTATTGAAAAAATCACTATTTTTTTAACATCTATCTCTTTTTTTTTTGTTATTTTATATACTATCGGTTTTCACGAAAATCAACAAACATCTCCGTTGACAAGTTTTCCGGGATAATAGATATTTGTGAAACATTTAGAGATTCTATTATCTGTGTCGCGTGAATCAAAGCTGAAAAATATCGAGTGTTTATCGGCGTTGTTATACAACGCTACGTACATTGTGCGTTGTCATAGCTCTATATTTCGTTCCATGATATTGTTGTTTTTTTATCACGCTCACTCCTGCGGTCGCACGTAGTTAATAACTAACCATCTACCACTATTTACTTCTACGAAGAGAATGATACGGAAAACTATTTGCGTTTAAACACCGTCATTTCCTTTGAAAATTTTCATAAAGAACCACGCGTTTATTTGTTCAAGTTTACTGCATTAATAATCGTATTTTTTAATTATTATCTTGTTCCTTATTACTTTGCTCTCTGTTTTTTGCCTTACAATTACAAAAAGCTTTATTAGTGTTATTTATAAAAATAATAATAAGCTGTTATTAATTTAGATTATTACAAAAATTGGAAACAGATATTTTATTTAAATTAATTTTTAATTTATTATTTACTTTTATAGTAATTTTTATTTGATTCTTATTTTATGTAGATATTTTATGTAGATATTTTATGTAGATATTTTATGTAGATATTTTATGTAGATATTTTATATAGATTCAATTTTTTGCCAACTAAATAAAATATTTTCCAGAAAATGTTTCTTTTTTTTATATAAAGCTTGGGTTTTTCGTATTTATGATTTGTGAACTTCACGTAACACGTAGTTTCAAAGTTGAAATAAATATGAGTTTAATTCAACGATCGAAATGGATTACTCGAATAAAAGTATTACTGCGATATATCTCTTCAGGGTCTTCGACCGATTCTCTTCCTTTCTCTCTCTTCTTGTTCTCGCGACCTTTTATCTATTGTGTTTACCGCGGAACGAAAGAAAGACTTGCGTCAATGCCCTGATAATGAGATTGCGCAGTCCAGTCGATTGCGCATTACCTGCATTTTTTTCATTCCCGCTTATCTAGCACCTTTGAGAAATTCGTAGACGTTATCTTCAATATTTTGAATGAAGGATGATATTCTTACACATAAACTCTTAAGGCAGTACAAATTCTTTCGACCAATCTTGATTTGACTTCTTTTTTCTTTACGGTAAAAATTGGATTTTTAAAATTTTGTATTCACCAATTTTAGAAGGGCGAAGACGATTGGTATATATTTAGTCTTGCACACACAAGTGTTTATTATTTTTTATATTTTCTAAGGTTTTTTTACGTACCTCAACAAAATCTCTGTGATCGAAATTGATTGAGATTGATCGTCTAAGACTCGTTCACTCGGAATCTTGGTTAGAGCAGAGACGGGAAAAGTCACTGTTAGAAACGTGAAATGAAAGTGCCAAGTATATCGCAGGCAGCGTAGTAGAGAGCCATACGATGTTTATCGTAAGAATGTCGGCGATTATCGAAACAAGCCGATGAAACGAGGTCAGTCCGTTCGCGTTGGCACGCTCCCCGGCGATAACAATCCTCATTCTTTCGGTCCCGCGTGTGATCTCCTTCCGGTTTCCGGTTGCTAGCCCGATCGGCTTCCTTTTATCTCATGCCCTCGTCCCCATAATTTTTCCAGCCATCGACTGATGACGATCGTTTCGCTGTTCTGCCCGATCAGCCGCCTTCGCGCGTTTTCACTTCCTTCATAATACAACCCGCGCGAACCTTCGCGGTTTAATACGTTTACGACCTATTTGTTACACAAGTCGTTATGCAAACACGAATACGAAACATACGCCTTATACAATTCTGCATAATCGAAATAGGTTGTTTTTTGAGCTAATATCGCATCAATGTGTTCTTATCGTTAATGTAATAATTCTAAAAAAAATTTTTATATCTGTGATTTAAAAATAAGCTGTTGAGTACGCTAACTTATATTTTACGACATCGATTAGTACAAGCAACTTGAGCCTTTTCTTCTCCGATTCTCCGGATTCTCTTATATTTCTCAAAGGTGACGAAAACTCCTGGCTCTTCGGGGTCATTAAGTTCGGCAGTCGTTTATTGTGCCGAATACAATAGAGCACTGTTTCGCGCGAGTCGTTCTTCTGAAACCGTACTCGGAATTAAAGAGCTCGATGAAGTTTGCATACTTTTTGTTCCCTCTCTCAGACAGTTACCATCGAGGATGAATCTCGATCTGCTGCTAACATTCTTTTTCTTTTTCTCTCTCTCTCTCTCGTCACTTGGGTATTTTGCACGTTTTATCGTTTTATGACTGATTTACTTTCTCGTCGAGTCAAGTTGTAACTACGGTCAAAAAATGATAATTTACTTAGCTATTCAACATGATAAATTAAGTAACTTAGCAATTTTGAAATAAAATAAAAAAAACATGCTTTTATAAAGTCTTGGATCCAGTCTCAAAATCTCCGAAGAAATCTGACAAAAGATTTAAGAAATAAATTTTTATTTGTAAATATTAGTAGAGTGGATCTTGATAAATTTTTTTCTAACGAGCAAATCACGTCACATTAGGTCGGCGGATGGACGTGCCAGCCGCTGGAAAGTCCGAATTCGGAGGAAAATACGAAGAAGCCGGTAAATACTGCGGTCGTCGTCGTTATCGCCGCGGGCGGCGCAGAAGGGCAAGCGTGTTGACAAAAGTCGGCCGATTCGCAAGAAGGAAGAAGGAAAGGAAGAAGCGGACGGCGACGCGCAAGATCAATTTACCACCGCGATCTCCGTTGAGACGAACGAAGGAGAGAGGGAAAGACAAAGAAGGAGAGTATCTTTCAGTGGGAGAAACGACTTGGGAAGGGGAAAGTTTCAATTCGTCATCGGAAACGTAAAACCACGCAAGGTCACGTGAACGTCCCCATCACCGGTGATCGTAATACAGTGATCGCGAGTTTCATTCATTCATCAGAGGCACGCGAACATTGCAAGAAGACGCGAGACGATCGATCATGGTGACGCACTATATTCTTTGAAGAAATTGTACGATTACTTTTCTCTTCACATTTTTCAAGTCTCGAGAAACCATCTCGAAGAGACGCAAAGCCGACGAGTATTTATATTTTGAATATTTTACGCTTCGCAAATACCTCGAAAGAAACAAGATTGTCTGGCGAGTGTTTCGAAGAGACTGAGAAATTCAATGGTCTACAGCGACTATTCCGTGCTTTAATCGTCGTGCAGCAGATTCTGACTCATCCGGTCGAATTTTCACTGCCGCGAGTTTCGCAGATATCCTGAAGAGACTCGAGAGATCAGCCGGTGGAATCTTGATCTGCTCTACTTGGTGCGCTTCGATTATCCCGAAGAGAGATTCCAAATCGCTTCAGTGGAATCATTATCTTCGCTACTTCGTGCGAATATTCCGCGAATATTCCGGAGGGGCTCAGAAAACCGTCGATACTAGAACAGCATCGCGGTCCGTGATCTCGAGGGGAAATTCGGTCACGATACAGTGCTTCGGTTTCCGGTTTATTGTCGAATTCGTGAAACTCCCTCGGCCATAGAGAACATCGAAACGATCTCTCGCGAGTGTTTCATCGCCAATATTCCTTCTTTTTTCGGACAAATGTGCCCTGTCGAGAACATGATGCGCCACATCGCCATCGCTATCCTGCTCGCCGTGCTCGCCAGTGGAGCGCCGAGATCATCGATCATCTACGCGGACGACAGAGTGGTGAGTGTTATTTTATTATTTATCTATTGCGTATCTTCGAATCTCTCTCTCTCTTTCTCTCTCTCTCACCGAAAAAAAATATCCCTTCGCCGTTCGCAATAAAAAATATCCAATCATCTTCGTAAATAATTAATTATGAAATAAATTTTTGAATATTGGATAAACCAAAAATACAATTTATATATTCGTGGCAAAATGTCATGGAAAATTGTTGAGTAAAAATTGTATAAATTGATTTTTTTTAATCGATTTGCATTTTTTATATAAAAACGTATTTTTCAAACATATTATTTGAAAGATGTGGTTTTTGTTAATTTAATAAAAGTAAAACAAATTGGAAAGATTATATTAATTATCGTTAAAAATTATTAATTATTACGTTATTGAAAGTTAGTTTCGAGCTTTTTTATATATTTTTTACACATATTATTTTTAATTTCATACTTTTCAGTATTGTTTTATTTGTAATACGCGATTCGTTGGTTTTCCAATTAAGAAAGATTCTTTGTTCAATGTGATTACGTATCTCTCACTACATTGAACAACAAAGTATCATTGTATTATGTATGATTATATATTATATATTTGTGCTATCATATAAACAAGATTATTCGCGTGTCATAATGTTGACTATACTGATCTCGCATGCTCCATAAGTCGCTGCGTCGAGTTTGTTACAACAATTACACGTTATTATTAGCACGGTATATTCTCATTTTCCGAAACGACCTAATGAATTAAATCATACACCTGCTTGTCGTGTATTTGTAATGATCATGTAGTGGTGTAATCAAAATTAATGGCGCAGAATATTACCAATTAGGGCATAGTATGAATCATTAAAGAGATAATAAGGTTTGTGATAGAAGCTGTTCGTAAGATAAAAGTTAAATTAAGACAAAATCAAGATAGATTATAATTATGCTTTGTAAGACGGAGATTTGCAAGGAGCATAAATTACGTTAGATGGCTTAAAACAAAGACGAAAAATGGAATTGCTCGGCTTTTGCGAAAGAGCGTACGGTATATTAAGATCTTAAAGCCTAGAGTACAATTAATTCCTACTCCCTTTTGCAAACCTGCGTTAACTTGTCGCGGCATATTAAGTTCTTCTGGTTGGTTTCTCGCTCTTGGATAAGGTCTCCTCGACATATTAAACTTCCTCTCCTGTCGACCGACCGGCGATGCAACTGAAAATTCAAGCGTTTCGCCTCTCGCCCGACGACCAAATGGAATTTGATAATTAATGCGGATAATTATTGCACGGGGGCAGATGTAAGCGATTACCTACGTCCGAGGGGACACCAATCGGATTAATGGATCTGCTGGTCTTGCGGAAAATACCCCAAAAAGAGAAAATATTTTTGCGCAGAGAAAGGAAATGTACTTGTTACACGTAGCGAGCGCTACGCTTGTTCCCTTAGCACTCATTAGTACAATAAAGCTGTGCATGAAACCAATGGAAAAAGTTAATGTCGCGGAACGCGGTGTACACACGGTGCCATTAATTCCCGGGCGACCAACTTTTGCGACGAAAAATCCTACTTTTACATTATTAAAGTCTCCCCTCTCGTTCTCAAGTAATTAGATTAAAAAAACGTCTTGTTGAGGAATATTGCTTAACTAAAGAACAATTAAACGTACAAGTTGTTTTGTTTAAATCAACTACTTGGCGAATCTTACAGAAGCACAGTTATTATATTGCATTGTATTGCTATATCATGATATAAAATAATATCTACATTCACTAAATATCTTTTAATTTTTTTTTTTAGAAATTATTAATTATCACGAAAAATTGCAGGTTGAACTTGGCATGTACAATTATATATAAATAAATGCAATTATTATTCGTTACTGATGCAATTTCTATTCATATAAATTTTATATCGTGAGAATTTAAAAATGTATTCGCGTGTAGATAAGTTTCTAAATCGTTTTATGAAACTGTGAGAGAGTCTCTTAATGAAACAAAAAAAAAAACAGTGCAGCGAAAATACTACAGATTCTGATAGGACCGCAAAGCCCAGGGCGTCCCGGACATTATCACAGAATATTTCATACACATGCCTGCACACAGACACATAACGTTAGTCGGCTTTACGAGCTTTTGCTTGATATTAAATGCCTTATGAATACGAGTACATGGGCACACTGTGAAACTTCGTTTGCGTGCGTGTAACCTTACGAATTAATGTGATCGATGCCCGCAGATAAGAGAGGTTAAAGGGGATATGCCTTCTTATAACGAAGACTGAAAACTAAAGACATTTAGAATCATCTAACCCTGACACCTCGACTAAAGGAAAGTAAAAAAATTTGACAGCTTTTTTAGACGTCTACCACATCTGCCTATATAATATACTATATTTGACCCTTCAAAAAAATAAATTCTTTACATCGTAATTCGTAAATTCTACACAAAATGACCCTTTACAGTATTTATCACTATTTATACAATATTTCTAATTTGTTTTCTTGTAATTTGATTTTTCTTTGCATTAGAATCTTCTTGTATTAGTATTTTTTTGTATTGATACAGATTTTGTAGTTTGAAATAAAAGAAACACAAATTAAACTTTTTACAGTCCTGTTAAAAGAGTAATTGAAACGTTTTATTTTTTTCCTAAAACAATTTATAACTGAAAAATGAAGTAGTTATTTTTCACGGAACCACGAATCCGAATTGTTATTTCACGCAAACGATGAAAATTGAATATTTATTTTAGCTTGAAATATTGCAGTTGAATTTGTCAGCGAATTTTATTTTAAAGAGATTTTAAGAGATTTTAAGAGATTTAGTTTAATTAAAATAGAGACTTTTTAAAATTAATCTTAATATCTATAATGTATAAATGCCGAATAATGGAAAAATAACCACAAATGATGATTTCTCTTAAAATCTTTGTGAAAAAAATTAATTGCAATGTAATAGAAAAATTTATATTAATACGCGTTAATCATTCTAACTAAAGTAGCATAATAATTTTTAAATCGGTTAAAAATGACCTTATTTATGAAAATATTCGATTCATCAATGTTGTACATACCTACATGTCGATATACTATCCACATCATCCTGATATTGCATCCAAACTTCCAATCTTCTTAACATTGCGTATCTACTCGATCTCACGCGATTGAACTCTAATATCATACCCAGCGTAATTCTGGCGCAACAACCTCGGCACGTACAATATTGCCAAAATTTACTTCTGAAAATCGCTGTTACATTTGAATCTCTATGGATTTCAATATATCCACGACCCCATTATTCTTTGCAGCTAAAATTAAAATTGCCCCCTAGACGACATTGTGCAGGAAAAACTAATCCTGCGTCGTGATCACAAATCACAATATCGAAGTATATATGCACGGAATATTGAATTAATATTCGCAAAAATCAGGCAAATCAAAAGATAAAAGTTTTCGGAATTTTGAAAATTTAAAATTGCGATTAAAAATATTAATGCGTATACATTTGTTGCAAATATTGCAGATGTTAAATGAAATATCTGATATTATGAGAAAATAATAAATAAACCTTATTTTAATTAAATTAATATTCGCGATATAACTCTTTATAAAATGTTATTCTGTAACAGGAAAATATATTTTTCAGGGAAATTTATTCGCTAATTATCGATGCGAGCATATCTTGTTTAGGTACAAATTTACATCAACTGACGTTGATAGAAGGATATACGTTAACGAGCAAACTTTCGACACAATAGGATTCGCTTGGTTTTTTGTGAATAATAATTAATTAATTACTCATGCAACCTCTGATTAACTCAGAGTTACCATAATTTCCATGTGTAAAATTTGACGATAATTCGGAATTCACGATTGTGAAATATTCAGCAACATACAATGATACTTTGTTGTTCAATGTAGCGAGAGATATGTAGTCACATGGAACCAAAAAAATCTTTTTTAATTGGAAGACCAATAAATCGCGTATTATAAATGAAAAATACTGAAAAGTATGAAATCAAAATATGTATAGCACAAATATATAATATATAATCATATATAATACAAATATGCGATGACTAAAACATTATATTAATAACATTTTCCTCTTCACTTTGAAGAAACGCGACCTTATCTTTGCAATTTATCATTAATTTATATGTAAGTAACAAAACCTATTATTTAGACTCTAATTTATAAAAATGTTTTATACGTGATTTTTTTAAAATGCTTTTTATATAAAATTTAAAACGCGTTGCTTCTGCGGAAGTTACGAAAAACTGCAGTTCTCGTCGGATATGTGATCCATTCGATTCATTTCCGGCGAACGCAATGCATAGCACGTTATCCCTTCGATTCCTTCCATACAAGTTGCCGAGATATTTTACACTGGATATTTCATCAAAATTTTGCACGGTGGCTACCGCGTTTATTTAAATTTTTAACTTCTGTCTCTCTTTCCCGCGTAAGCGAAACTACAATACGATAGCATAGTATTTACATCCTGATAACGTTTGCAGTGGCACCGGTAAAGCGGATCTCGTATGAATTAAATTAAAAAAAAAGAGGGAGAAAAAATATAGATGGAAAATTGGATTTGTAGACCTGTGGCGATAGATGTATTTCGTTTATAAAATTGCAAAATAATATTGATACCACGTTTTTTTTCTGAGAAATTAGATGTAAAAAGCAATGGATATAAAAATAATTTATTTCAAGATATAAGAGGAGATATCTAAAAATTTCAGAAAAATTTGTTTTGAAAAAATTAAGTTTGCTAAATAATTACTGTGCTAAATAATAACTGTGCTTCGACGCTAAATTTTATACATTTATGATATTATGTAATGCCGTATCGAGTTTTTATTTAAGGAGATTTAAGAGAGCTTCGGTTTTACGTTCATTTAATTTACGTTTAATATTAAAGGAGTGCGAAACGAGACACATCTCTAACTAACGCGTACAGTAGGACAAATTTGTACTAGTGCGTTCCATCGATCGGTACAGTGAATCTAATTTTTCTG